TAAGGTAATAAATATAGTCTTTTTCTTTTTCTTATTATTAGTTTTTTAAGTTCTTTTACTATTCCCTTTAGTATTTATTTACCTTTATCTTATATAGTATTAAGATTTAGGGTATATTTCTTACTTTAATATCTTCTTTTATTAAGAATTCTTCTTATAGTTCTTAAATTAAACTATCTAGGTATAAGTATTATCTATATTTTAGCATAATGCCTTTATATAAAGCCATTATATTATATAGGCTTTATATTATTCCTAGTACTTAGGTTTATATAGCAGTTTAGGGTTTTTATTTATTAGTTATTACTAGTATTTACTTACCTTAATTAGGGTCTTTAGGCTTTCTTAATTAAGGATACTTATTAATAATATATCTAAATTAATTATAATTATAATATTTAACCTTAAATATATTATAAGGTCTTTTATTATTATTATATTATATTACTTTAAGTATTATAAGTCCTAGTTTAGTTCTATATTATATATTAATATATTTCCTTCTTCCTTAATTAGTATTTTATTATTTATTAATATTTTATTAAGGGTTATATATCCCTTTGTATCTTTTAGCTTGCTTTTCTTAATATTACTTATATTATTAATTATTAATTTCTATAGTAATATTTACTAGTTTATTTAAGTTCTTTAGTTTAGGTCTAATATTTATTATTATATCCTTAACTTCTAACTTTAATCCTAAATATATCTATACTATATAAGCTTTTTTGCCCTAGTTTAGCTTAGCTACTTAATAGCAGTATTTAGCTAAATAGTTTATAGTAAATCCTCTTTACTTAAGCTATTATACTTTTATTTTTATAATATGTTTTTTATTTATTATTTTAAAGGCATTTTTAAGCTTTAATTTAAAGTTTTTATATTTCTTATAAATATATTTTATTATTTCTTATTATTCTTTATATAATTTATTAATATAATCTTAAATAATAAGTTTTATTAATTATAATACTTTATCTTTAAGGAATTTTATATTATATTAAACTCTTAATTTATTAATAATAAACTAAATAAGGTAATATATCTAGTAGCTCTAGAAGCTAATAAGGAATCCTTAAAGTTTATTAATATTATTATTAAATAGTTTAGGCTAATAAGGTTAAAGGATTTCTCTAAGGTCTTTTTTAGTTATTATAAGGGCTATAATATATTTAATATACTCCTTATAAAGTTTCTAACTATTTTTTACTTCCTTTTTAAGTGCCTTTATAATCTTAATAAAATTAACTACCTTCTTCTTTAGGTTCTTAATCTTATTTTTAGCTATATTAAAGTTATTTTTTATATTCTCTAGGAGGTTATTATATTACTAGCTAAGCTATTTAAGTCTATATTTAAGTTTTATAACTTCTCCTTTATAAGTGCTTAGGTAAGTAAGGGTAATATCTTCTTTATTTTTATTATTAGTTTCTATAAGAATATTTACTAAGTTAAGAGGTATTTCTTACTAAAGGTAATACTAAGTATATCTTAAGTTAAAAGGCTAAATTAAAGTAATAAGTATTATTATATTAGTATTACTTAGTATTATATAGTATAGTCTAAATAAGAGCTATTAATATATAATAGTTAGGTTTTCTAAATAGGTAAACTAGTCTATATTAAGTTTATATTTATAGATTATATAAAATATAATATTAAGTATTATAAAGTATTATATCTCTTAATAATTAAGTAATATATATTAGGCTTATTAATATAAAAATACTTTATTAATAGCTAGTAAGCTAAATCTTATAAAAGTATTAATAAATATATTCTTATATACTAAAGGTAGCCTAATAGCTTAATAAGGAATAATAATAATCTAAAGGTTAAATCTCTAGGGATTATTAGTAATTTATAGTAATTTAGTCTTAAAGTATTATAATCTAAGTAATTTAATAAGAGAGGATTATTACTAAGAGAAGTAATCCTTCTATAATAGGTGGAAATTATAGGGGCCTTGTAATATAGCTATATAGGCCATAACATTTTTTAATATATTTAATTATCTTAAATACTATTTATATTATAATAATTAATTTAATATATTATAAGGTATTATATATAATAATAAGCTATTTATAATATTAAGGGTATACTAGCTTTATAATTAGAAATAGCCTAATACTAATAGAGATATTAAATTTAAATTTAATAAGAAATTAACTTTTAATAAATATACCTTTATTAATAAATAATACTACTATAATTACTTAGCTATTATTTTAGAATTATAATATACCTTAGATAAAAATACTAATTATAAGTATAATATAGCCTAAGGTAATAATAATATAATATTTAAATTAATTAATAATATAAAAGGCTATTATATAAAATAGGTTAGCATATATATTATAATAAGTAAGATAAAGGAACTTATAGAAAAATAATATATTAAAAGTATTAATATTAATAATTATAATATATAAGCTTATTAATTCTTAATAATCTATAAATTATTAAGTAAACTCTTATTATATTTTAAAGAGTTTATTTATTAGGTTTTATCTTTTTTAAAAGAATTTATTTTTATTTCTATTATTAATTATAATATAAAGTATAAGTAATAGTATTTAGATATATAGGCTATATAGGCTAAAGTGCTTATATTATATTATATATAAGACTTAGAGATAAGGCTGTTTTTTATATTTAATAAAATATGCCTTATTCTTTTTAAAAGATATAATAATCAAATAAGTAATAAAGGTTAATATTATAAAAAGAGGGAGAAGCTAATTTTATAACGGTTGCACAAGCCGTTAAGCCACAGGGCAAAAGATCGGGCCATAATCGCTATGCAAGCAATTATGGGTGTGCTACAGCTGCCTTATAGAAGCCTTACAGCGCTGTTACGGGCACGAATCGTAACAAATTTAATATAAATATTCTTTAAAATAAATAGGAAAAGGGTACCTTCTTAAGGCCTTAAGATTTAAATATAATAAGTTTATGCTGCACTAATAAGTAGCTGTTAAACCTAAAGAAGTAAAAAAGGCATATTATTTAATTACCTTAAATCTGGAGTTAGTTTAACTACTTTAATTAAGTAGGTATTAATTTCTAGACTATTAAGGTTCTATTTTAGTTTATTACTTATTATTTATATAACTATATTATATCTTTTTAAGGAGCGGCATTATAGCTACTTAAAAGGCTAGTATTCTAGGCTGCCTAGCTAGGGGCTATTTAGCTTAATAATTAATTATAAAGGTTTAATTCTAGTTAGTTTAAAACTATAGACTATTATACTTATTCCTTTTATTTTTTACTTACTTTATTATCTTATTTTATACCTTAACTTTTAACCTTATTTATTCTCTTATCTTTTAAATAGAATTATATCTTATAATTATTATATTAAAATACTAATTATCTTTTAATATAAGATTACTTAGTATTAATATTCCTTACTTAAGATAAAATAAGAATTCTAAGTAGCTTATTATTAATAAGTATTTATTTCTTATATAAGTAAGTAAACTTTAAAACTTTTCCTTTATATTAATTAAATATATAAAGCTAGTTATGTAAAAGATAGTTAATATAAATATTAATACTTTATTAGGCTATATAACCTAGGAGATAATAAAGCCTAAAGAAGATATTTTTAACTTTTCTATTTTTAATAAGATTATTCTTATAATATAAAAGTATTTTATATATTTTATATTGCTCTGGTTTGGCTTGTTTAAAAAATAGTAAGACTTCTCTTTTATGCTATAGTATGCAAGGACTGACTAGGGCTTAGGGCTTTTAATATATATGCTATTATAAGTTAAGTAGAACTTAAATTAATTCCCTTCAGTAAAACTATACAAAGCTGGCAGTTATCTTAAAACTACTAATATCTTATTATTCTTTTACCTTAAGTATTATAAGGCTAATATTAAAGTATTTAATATACTTATAAAGTATTTATAGGAATTTAATAAGTCTTACTTTATTATAATTATAGTTTAAGTTAAGAATAAGAGTAGCCTATTAAGGGATTTATATAATAGGTCTAAACTAGCTAAATAAACCTATTACTAACCTATTCTATAAGAGCTAATTAAATTCTTTACTTTAAGCTAGGAATACCTTTATAAAGATATTAAAAAGCATAACCTGGCCTACTTTAACCTTTCCTATAATCTTATAGAACTTAAAGGCGGCGACTAGGAGATAGTTTTTAAATTAAGCCTATATATTAATAAACTATTTATAATATATTACTATACTCTTTATATTAACTAAGTTATAAAAGCTAGTAAATTATAATATCTTATTTATATTATACTAATATATAAATAAACTATACTAGAGATAATATAGATAATAACTTTCTAGTTATTATAGGCAGGAGAGGTATATTAGGGGATTATCCTTTAGGCAGTGCTATAAGTAATATTATAAATATCTAGATATAGTTTATATTTAACCTAGATTTCCTTACTTTTAATATTTATTTTAATAATTATAATAAGTCTTATATAAAATATAAATATAGAAATTAGCTGCTTTTTATTTTAAAATAGTAATAGGATAACTATAGTGCTTAGTATATATAAATTACTTATAGATCTTATATAATAATAGGTATAGCTTCCTTTAGTATTAATATAATAAACCTAGCTAATAATCCTTTTATTAAGTATTATAAACTCCTTAAGTTAGTATTAGCTATTATTTTTAAGGCCTAGTATTAGCCTAACTTATTTATTAGCTTTTACTTTAATAAAATACTAAATAATATATTTAATCGTATCTTAAACCTTATTAAGTAGAGCTAGGGAGATTTCAATATTATAATTAATTAATATTTTATCTTTAAAAAGCTAGAAATAGGGGTAGGTATAGTTATTTATTAAGGATATAGTAAGTTCTTATTAATTAGCTAGGGGTTTTATATTAATATAAAAAGTTTATTATTAAATATAGCTTTTATAAGTATCTTTAAAGTTAAGGAAAAGGCTATTAATAATAAGAAAACTAGCTAATTATAAATAATATATATCTTAAATAGGAACAAAACTAAAAGTAATAGCTTTACTATAATGCCTAATAAGGACCTAGATTATAGTGGCTTTCTTATACCTATTATTATCTTAGTAAGGATAATAATTACTAAGGTAACTTTTTATTTTATCTTTAAGTAGCTTATAGATTTTAAAAACTATTTATTTTATTAACTTCCTTAGTTATATATTTAAGTTTTAAAATCTTATATTTTTTATTTATTATTCTATTATGCTTTTTTTATCTCTTAGTTAGGAGTATTTCTATTAATTTATTATATATTTATATTATTTAATACTAGGTCCTTAATATTAAACATAATATATTTGCCTTATTTAATTACTACTTACGTATAAGTTAAAAAGTAATCTATATTAAGATTTATACTTAATATTATTAATATAACCTCTTTCTTATTAAGAGGAAGTAAATACTATATTAAGAAATATAACATTTACCTATTTAATATATATATTTTATAATTATTAGAAAGTACGTAATAATTTTAAAATATAATAAGTTAATAGATTTATTAAGGATTAATCTTATTTATTTTCTTATATTTAATTAATATATTATAAATTTAATATTTAGCTAGTAATATTATAGTTTAAGGATTACTTTAAAGTTTAATTTAAAGATATTTTAAATAAGCTAAATATTTTTATTTATATTAAATAACAGTATATAAAGTAAGACTAATACAGATATTACTACTATATAACTAATAATTAGGTAAATAACTTTATAATTTCTTTTTAATTAGATCGCTTTATTAAATTGCTATATAATAAAATATAGAATTTATATTTAGTATAATATATTACTACTAGGGGTAATAATAATACTATAGGCTTAAGGAATTAAAAATATAATAGTATAATATAGTAATAATAGCCTAAGTAGAGAGTAATAAAGGTATTAGTATAATTTACTTTAATATATTACTTAAGATTCTTTATACTTAGCTTAATATTTAAGGGAATTATTTACTTCTAGTTATCTAATAATTTAAAGAGGGATATAATAGTTAATTTAATTTTATTATAGTTAATGTTTTTATAAATACTATAATAGTTAAAATCCTTAATTAGTTTAAATAGGTAAATTAAAGAAATCTTATATACCTAAAGCCCTAGCTGCTATAGGATATTTAGCTTAGTCTTATTTAGAGAGAGAGACTTAAAGATAGGCTTATATATTAGAAGATTAATAATAAGATTAGTATCTTAGATTTAAGATATTAGGCTAAGACTAGAAGATAATTAGTAATTAGTTATATATAGTATTTATTAAGTCTTTATTCTTATTTTATAATTTATTAATATCTTAGCTACTAAATAAGTACTAGCTTTTATAATTTATAATAAGTTAATACCTGTGCCTATAAATAGTAAGTAGCTAGTATTATAGAATATTTTATTAATATAGCTTATAGAAAAATAAGGTCTTAAAAAAAGGGTTTAAATAGGTAGTATAGAGATTAATAATTAAGATATAAATTTATATATTTTTAATATAAATATTTTTTAAATTAGTTAGAAGTAAGTGCTTAGATTTATTATTATAGCTATTCTTTAAAGAGTAAATCTCCTTATCTTAGTTAAATCTAGTACCTATACTATAGATAAAGAGTAAAAGAGCCTTATTAATAAAGCTATCTTATATTTATTTCTTTAAGGTAGCTAGGTAAAATAAGCTATAAGGTTAATTATAAAGCTTAATAAGGTAGTAGTTAATAAGGTAAGTAGTAATCTTAATAGAAATATTAATTAAAGTATTTTAATATTATATAAGATTTAAGTTTAATAATAAGGTATAGGTTTAAGATAAGATATTAGCTAATAAAGCTATATATTTTAAGTTCTTAGCATAGTATTAATTATATAAGTTTCTTATTTAGCTATTTTAATAGGTATATTTTTACTTATTTCTTTAATACTTATAATATACTTTAGGAGGCTTTAATATATTAAGTAAGTAGTAATATTTTTATTTAAAGAATTATAATTATCTAGGGAGTAGTAGGGGGTGGAATATAATATTAAGGTAAACTTATAGCTTTGCCTATATTTCTCTTGCTATTAGAAAAGGCAGTTTTTAATTAGCTTTCATATTAAAGCCTATTATTATAATATAGGGAAGTAGAGTAAAGAGTAAAGAACTAATTAAATAGCTTAATTAGCTTTAGATTTATTATTAAGGGTATAAGGTAACTTTATAAAGTAGCTTACTTTTTAATACTAGTAATTAATTAATATTTATATATATAAATAGGTAACTATATAATATATATACTTTTATTTAATTATATAATATATAATAGTAATTTACTCATCCTAGGTTAGAATCTAACTATTAACCTATTACCTAATAGGCTTATAGTTAGTTAATAATATAGGATAAGTAAGATAGCCTATATTTAGCTTATAGAATAGCAAATAGCTTATTTCCCCCTCTTAGTTATTTTAAATCTTTCTCCTTCTAGGGGTTATAATCTTTAACTAGACTTATATTAAGTAGGAGTTTAATTCCCTATATTAGAAATAAAATATATTAATTAGCTAGAATACTATATATTATTTTATATTATATTATAAGGTATAAGGGTAATTAAATATAAACTTAATATAAGAAACTTTATATAAACTTAAAGTTTTAGTTATTAATATATTAATATTTAATAAGTAATTAATAATACTTAGGCCTAAGCTATTTTATATTAATATTACTTTATTTATTCTTTTTAGGCTATTTCTTATTTAGGCTAACTTTTATATATATTTTTTATATTATACCTTAATTTATAATTAACTATATACCTTATAGGGGGAATGCTATAGCTTATCTTTACTACTTATTATCTTTAATAACTTTTTTTATTATTACTTTAAGATATTATAATAAAACTATAAAAATGCCTATAAATATAGCTTTCTTAGCTTTTATTTTAATAAAATTTACTTTTTAAAAGCTATTAAGTAAACTACTTATTATCTTCTGGCTTTTTAACTATCTTTTATAATATTTTTTAGCTATATATTTATTATTATAGTTTTTATAATTACTAGCCTTATAGCTTTATTAATATTAAGGCTATAAAGCCTTAATTTAACTTTAATAATAATATTATATTTAAACTTAAAAAGAAGTTATTAGCTATTTTTTTATACCTTATTATAAGATTTTAATAAATATTATAAAAGTAATATTTTACTTATTAGTATTTTTATTTCTTATAATTTAATTAAAGCTTATATTAACTATAATAAGATAAGTTCTAAATAGGAAAACTAATCTATACTAGGTTTAATATTTACAGAGTTATAAGGCATTATACTAAGCAGTTATAAGTATTATATCTCTTAATAGTAAATAAAGCAGGTTAGGCATATTTAGGTAAAGAAGTCTTATTAATAGCTAGTAAGCTAAGTTTTATAGAGGTGCTAATAACTATAGTCTATATACTAAAGGTAGCCTTATAGCTTAGTAAAGAATAGTAGTAATTTAAAGGTTAGATTGCTAAGGATTATTAGTAATCTATAGTAATCTAATCTTAGAGTATTGTGATTTATATTATTTAATAGAAGAGGATTACTATTAGGAGAAGTGATTTTTCTGTAATTGGTGGAAATTATGGGGGTTACGTGACGTAGCTATGTGGGTTGTAATATTAACCTTTATATAAATAAGAATTAGGGTAAGGACTAAGAGTTTATTAATTATATTATTTATAGCCCTAGGCCTAAGATTATTAGCTAGGGTAATTAAGCTATTTAAAAGCTATTTTTTATAATATATAAAGGCTAGATTATTTATTATTATTTTACTTAAGTTAACCTTAAGTTTAATTAAAAGCTTTATTATAAGATAATTAAGGATTTATATAAGTAAAATAAGGCTATTAATAATATTACTTTTCTTAATCTTAATTAATATCTTAATATAGTAATTATTACTTATAGCCTTATTTTTAAGAAATATATTATAATATTTAAGTATTATAATAGGCCTCTTATTAATAATTACCTTATTTATTATAAGGTATCTTAAAACTTTATTAATTTTAAATTTATTATTATATAACTTAGTATTTTTAATAATAGATAATTAAACCCTAATAGTAGTTTATTTATAATTTAAACCTTTAAACTTAGAAAAAAAGATAAGGGAATCTTTATTATTAATAATAATAGCTAGGAAGAAGTCTTTATTAATATAAATACTATTAACCTTAAGGGTTAAAAGCTAGCTAATATTAGGCAGTAGTTAGCTTATTTATATAAGCTTTATATTATTAAAATTCCTAATAGGAGTATTTTTAAAGGAGAGCCTAAGCTTCTTATTATAAATAGTAAAAATATTAATTACTTAAGAGACTGCTATAATTATATTATAAATAGACTTATAGATATTTTTAATTATTTATAAAAATAAGTAATAAATTTATATTAATTTTTTAATTAAACTTAATAAGATAAGATAAGTAATTAGTATAATATATTTATTATAACCCCTGCAGTTATATTACATATACCTTATAATTTCACTTTTCTTCTTACTAATTATAATATAGTTTATATAAAGATAACTAATATTAAAATGCCATTATCCCTAAAACGCTATATCTTAAGATAATAATATCCCTATATACTATTATCCCTTACTTTATAATATTAATATATAAAATATATTTATTAGCACTTTTATAAATCTTAGCTTACTAGCTATTAATAAGACTTCTTTACCTAAATATGCCTAACCTGCTTTATTTACTATTAAGAGATATAATACTTTATAATTACTTAATATAATGCCTTATAACTTTATAAATATTAAACCTAATATAGACTAGTTTACCTATTTAAAACCTATTTTATTATATATTAATAGCTCTTATATAAAATATATTATATTAATAACTAAGTAATATTATATTATTAAGATATCTAGTAATATTAGCCTAGTACCTCCTTATATTAAAGCACTACTTAGTATTACTAAAATAATAACTAAAATTTAATAGCTTTATAATACTATTTATATCTTATAGGCTTAAATAAATATATATCCTGCTATAACTATTAATAAGGGAAGTAATAAAAGGGACTTTAGAAAGGTACTTAAGCCCCTTAAGCCA